ATCCCCTTAGTAGTGCTATAATTAAGATGCACCTATTTGTCTATAATGAACCAGTCAGATTTCTTTAAGAAGCCTCATAAAAAGTTTTCCTTCATAAACTGATCTCTACTTGGTATTATGAATGCCCCTCAGATTTCAAGTAATTAAAGCAATAATAAAAACTGAAACAAAATGTAGTATTTTTCACATAATATTTACAGTATTCCAAGACAAATTTAATAAAATACAAATTACCATGATAGAAAATCATAGTAATACTTTTTTGATACTTCCTATGTAAAAATCATTGTTCATGTTAAATTTTAAAGTAGCACGAGCAAATATTGAAAAGACAGCAGCTTTCCACCATTCCTATTAATACTGTTAATGACTACAAGTGTTTGATTGCAAAATAAAGGCAGATTATACACCATGATTCTTCCAGTAGTGTAATTTATAGAAGTATAAAGTTTCTTTTTTTCTTAACACGTTACTTATTTAACATGTAAAATAAGAAGCTATGTTGTCGTTTGCCCAAAGCCTCACTATCAACACAGATTAGAAGTTACATATCTTTACTATCAACACAGATTAGAAGTTACATATCTTTTACCTTCCCTCATAAAAACAAATCCTCACTTCACAGGTGAGAGATGCACCCCTCTTTAGCTGAGTAGGGGACTTATTTCCCAATATGCATATCAAAATATGTATTAAAAAAAAAGGAGAACTACAAATCTTGTAGGAATAAGTTTGACTACAACTTTTTGCTATCCATACACTTTAAGAACTCCAACACTTATTAGGTACAGTTTTCACATTGTTTTGTGAAGTTCATTGTTCACATTCTTTTCACTCATTTAAATCTTTGACAGGAAGACATTCAAACATTTGTTCTTGGGTGGGATTTTTGGTGTTTTGGGGTTTTTTTTTGGTGTTTACTGATGGAGAGAAAACTTCAGAAATTATGGTGAAATGTGTACACTAACTGCTCAGCAACTCAGGAAGGAAATGAAATAATAAAAATACATAATTGAAATTCTTTAGCAGCAAATAAATATGGCTCTATATATACACTGACAGAAAAATACATTGGTACTCAGTTCCCATAAGCACAGTTTGTAAGGGAATTGTATTTAAAATCACCTAATCTGGAGCATTAAAAGTGATGCAGGAACACGGTTAGTCTACTAAGTAGTCACTGCTTAAACATATCAAAGCTAGTTTTTAACTTCACTTAGCTGTAGTGCTACAGGACTGATGCTGCAGCAGGAAAGAACCCATCAAGAGTTGCCAGAATCTGAGAAGTATGATGGAATCCCAGAATGGTTTGGGTTGGAAGGGATCTGTGAAGGCCACCTAGTCCAAACCTCCTGGAATCAGCCAGTACATCTTCAACTAGATCCGGGTACTTGGAGCCCTGCTCAGCCTGGATTTGAATGTTTCCAGGGACAGGGCATTCACAGCTCTCTGGAGTGGGATAAATCCTTAGGGACATAGTCCCCTGCCAAGTTCTGCATTATTTGTACTAGCAGTAACCAAACTTGCTTGAAATTAGCTCAAATGAACAGCAAATACTGTTCTTTATAGTTGTATGCCATATTTCTTTATAGAAAGTATTTCACAGTCAGTCATATGAACCCATAATGAGTTTTCAAAACATACTTTAAATTAATTAGCCAATAAATTGCATGTAACTAGAGCCTGGATACCTCCTGGTCAGCAATGCACACTATGGATAAAATATGACTTCACTTATCAACTCCTTGTTTAACCAAACAGCATCCAGGGAGGATGTGACACCAGGCCAAGCACAATACAGAGACTTTAGAGATTTTCAGTGCTCAAAAAGCAGACACTGGTTCTCCCTTAATCCCTTGCAACACCAAAAATGTCAATGGATTCCCACTTTAATGAGCTCAGAATGTCTATGTTAAGAATCTGAAAATCCCACTGCCATTAATTCATACAGTCAACTCTTTGAATTACTGTATTCTAATGAAATCTGCACCAGGTACTAGTTATCTGTTATATATAAGATCTTGACCACGTTTCCCCTGAAAATTCTGTCTGCAGCCATTTCACTGAAAGGGGAAAAACCAGGCCCCAAGAAGGCTCAATGCTACTGTGTAGTTACTAGGGACTAGGAAAGGTAATTTCACACATTTTCAGAAAAACAGTCACTCCTTCTAATAGCTTTTCTACTGGCCCTGAATTAGTTCCCTTTGCAGTGACATCTCAAAAGTTAAACAAAGAGTTTGAATTTTATTTCTGCCAAAGATTTTTATAAATAAACCACTGAATAATTATATGAGATATAAATTTTTAAAACTGAAATATAGGGTCTAAGAACACATGTGCATGGGTACCCAAGAACATATACAACACCCTTCATATAAGGATGGATTCAGGATAGCACTACTTAGTGAAAAAATTTATTAAATAGGTGCTATCATAGAATTGCTAAAGAAATATCTGAATAAAGAGAGACCCACCTTCTCACCTTCCAGTCCCTGAAAAGATTCCAGCCTAAGATTTAGAGCAAGCTTTCACAAACACAAAATAATCACACTAAAAAGTGGCCTCAATTTGAGTGATCTTGAAATTACATGAGCTTGAATGCCTGTGGGCTTGGCTGACATTCACTGTATTCACCTAAGAACAAAACTGACAACTATTGTATGTCTGCCAATTTATTAATATAATTATTTCTATACAAATAAAGATTTTTTTTTTCTCCTTCATAGTAACAATTCAGTGTTTCAAAACAGGCAGATCAATGTATTACAAATACCACTACTGTTAGAACACATATACTAAAATCACAGGAGGTAGAGTTAGATCCCCATTAACAATTACTTGAGAAAACACAGACTATTTTCAAAAATTAATAAAATACGTCATTCATGAAAACTTACTTTTCAGAATAACTCATTCCTAGCTGCTTTAAGGGATGTGTTTTTTAAGCATGATAAAGAATTTATGATATAAACATTCTCTTTCAGTTTTCAACATAACTTTGCAATAAGCACATAAGAAAGCTCCCAAGTGGTGAAGAATTCAGGCAAACTGGAAAAAAGCAACATTTTAAATTATTCAAATTACCAGTTATCATGAATTTGACCACATCTTTTACATTATGATTACATTTGAAAATTCATTCAACTAACTACAGTTTTAAAATATGCCTACAATAATGAAATTAATGTGAAGCTTTTTTACACTGTTAATAATTGGCATTTTTGAATGGCAAGGTATTATTCTTTTTGCAACAACTTATTGCAAAATACAGGCACCATAAAAACTGATACATAATGCAACCAGGGTATCTGGGATATTGAAAGTGTTTACCATTACATAGTCATATTTCCCTTCTTTTAAAGAAATACTCTACAGTTTGAAGCCGTGCCTGAGGTGCGTGCAAATTATCATATTTCAGTATTTAACTCCATAGTGTATTTCTTTTACAGTTACAAAAACACTAGTGTGCCAAGATTTTGAATCATTACATCTGTAAAGACCTTAAGCAGACATTGTAACTTCAATAATGTATTCTTTCTATTGCACATAGGCTCATATGACAGTGACACTCAGGTCCATATTGATTTTCAATTATTTACACATGCTAAAATTCTCTATCTGAATATAATATTGGAAAAGAAAAAATACAGTCTTTCTTGACCAATACACATCACTCCAAAATTTATGCCAAGAATTTCATGGAATTATAGAATGAAAGGATGAAAGGAACCTCTAGGAGTATCAGTTGACATGAAGCTGTGTGGTGCAGTTGACACTGGAGGAAGGGAAGCCATGCAGAAGGATCTGGACAGGCTTAAGAGGTGGGTCTGTGCAAAGCAAGAGCAAGGTCTTACACCTGCATCATTGTAATCCCAGCACAGCTTACAAGCTGGGCAGAGAACAAATGGAGAGCAGCCCTACCCAGAAGGGCTAGGGCATGAGAGGCTGGACATGCCCCGGCCATGGCACTCACAGCCCAGGGAGCCAAACGTGTCCTGGGCTGCATCCAGAGCCCCGTGGGCAGCAGGGGAGGGAGGGGATTCTGCCCCTCTGCTCTGCTCTGCTGAGACCCAGCTGGAGCATCCAGAGCTGGGGTCCCTGCACAGGAGGGACAGGGACCTGCTGGAGCAAGCACAGACGAGGCCACCAGGTTGGTGAGAGAACTGGAGCACCTTCCTCGATTATGACAGGCTGAGAAAGTTGGGGCTATTCAGCCTGGTGAAGAGAAGGCCGTATGGAGATGTTACAGGAACCTTCCAGTGCTTGAAGGTGCCTACAGGGAAGCTGGAGAGGGACTCTTCATCACGAGGTGTAGTGATAGGACAAAGGGAAATGGGTGAAAATTGGAAGAGGACAGATTTAGATTAAGTACTTTAAAAGATTCATTACTCTATGGATGGTGAGGCACAGGCACAGGTTGCCACACAGAACTTGTGGATGTCCCATCTGTGGGAGTATTCAAGGCCAGGCTGGATGGAGGGCAGAGCAACCTGGTCTAGAAGGTGTCCCTGCCCACAGCAGAGGAATTGAGATTAGCTGATCTTTAAGGTTCTTTCCAACCCAAGCCATTCTGTGACTATGATTTTATGGTCCACCCTTTCTTAGCAAAAGCATAGTGTAGACAAGATAACCTAACACCTTGCCCAGCCAAACTTTAAGTGTTCAGTGTTGGAGGAATCTACCACTTCTCTGGAGACATTATTTCAATGGTTGATTGTTCTAACTGTACAAAAATTTCCAATTATGTCCAACTGGAATCTCACCTGGGGTAACTTGTGCCCATGAAATCTTGTATTTTCCATGTGATTCTTTGTAAAAAAGGGAGTCACCATCTCCTTTGAAGCCCTCTAAATACTGGAACTTGTATTTTCTGATTTTATGAAGAAAGCCTGTCATCCAGGCTTTCTCCTAATACAGGGTCAGATTCAAATTCCACTGAAGGCAAAAGAAGCCTTATTTTTCTTCAGCAGACTTTTGACTAGGCATAAAGCCCAAACAGAAAAATTATAGCAAGTGTTTATTATAGTAATTGGTAAAACCGCACTTTGGATGCATCAATATGCTCTCACAGCATTGCTTAAAATAAAAAATTCCAAACAAATCTCTTCCCCAAACTAAGAGTGTTACTGTTCATGTTGAGTCCTAGATATATTTACGAGTTTACCATCTATTAACTTCAAATAGTTTTCTCCTTTTGGTCATGACACAAAAGCCCACACTGATGCACAACAGTATCTACAGTAGCAGAAGCATATTCCTATCACAGGTGATGAAGTTATCATACACGTGCATTTCCAAATGAGTTGTTCCTTCATGGTTTTTTTTAAAAGAGTCTTTGATGCTTCAGTGATATATCACAAATACAGTATTTTGCAAGCAATGAGTAGGAGCTAGATTTCCACTGAATATTCTTTAGCTTTGAGGAGCTTAAACATCGTCAAATATTTTGCTTCGAGACATTGACAGGTATCTTCCACCAGGCTGGTACCTGCAGAATCAATTGTGAAAGTGAAAAAGTGTCACAGGAAATAGAAAAATAAAGACCTATGAAATCATCTAACTCTCATTGAAATCTTACTTCTTAACTGTAGTGAATTACAGGCTTTGATGTTCTACTGAATTAGTTTCCATGAGCATTTGAAAGACAGTCATGAAATTAAACCTCATGTGACCAAGAGAAACAGTTATATGAATACTAGGAGTCTTAAAGAACTATGTTTCCTAAAACAAGGGAATAAAGTTGGATGTTTTGGTTGAACAGGACTTTTTTTTAAAAATCCCTACCACACCAACAACTTAACAAATGAACAAAAACCCAAAACACAATAAAACCAAACTAACAATGGCACCCATAAAATAGCTTGGGTGTTAACAGTATACCTCATGGGGTATTCTTAGAAGAAATACAATATCAAAGATAATGAAAACAAATGTCTGCCTGCTTAGTGGGAAAAGACAAATGTCTGAAAAAATTGTTGTTTAAATGTATTTTAGAAACATTTTAAAAGCACAAATAAGCACAATGTAGCTCCTTGCTATAGTATTTACTAAAATCTGAATGAACACAAAGCCAGAACCGGGTGCCCTAACTGCCCTTACTGTCCAAGAATTTTCTATTTACTGCAGGAGCTCTAGTTATAAAAACCAATGTTACATAAGCTACTTCTAAATTAATTGAAATTCCACATGCAATTGCTCCTGATTTATTACTTCCATGAAATGAAATGAAGGTTACTAGGCAAAGCTCAAGTAAGCTTCGAAGCTCCTGGTTTTCTTTTTAAAGAAGTTTAGAATGTTCCACTTTGCAAAGCATGTAGATGCCTGGAGAAATGTGCTTGAAATTTTCATTATGTAATTTTATTCTGTATTTGCTCCAGAATAATTACATATGCATACTGTTTTTAGTATGTTTTTAGTAAGACAATCCCTTTCACACTACACAGAAGCCAACTGCTGACAGAAATTCTAGGCTAGTTCCTCTTTAAACTTTTGTGCTTAAAAACCCCCAACTTTTCAAATGTGGTGACATGAGACTAAACCAGTTGCCTGAATCTACCTGTGAAACCCAGCAGTGCCATTTAACAGTATTCTTTGCCTGTTTCTGAGCTGGCATTTTTTTATTGAGTTTACAGATCGAAGTCCACTAAAACAATGATTTTTTGTGACCTTTTTTGTTTGGGCAAGCTAGTTTTAGCTAAAAAACAATGAATGGTAAGTTTTTTTCATGTGAATTTTACATTATTTGTCATTTTGTGGTTCTACACCATAACCACCCTCCGCAAAAAAACCCCATACAATGTATTGCTTGTTTCTTAAATATGAGCAGAGCTTAGCAGTTACACAAGGTACCCTCTAATTGAGGTAATTTGGTGTTGCAGTCACAACCACAGATTCACAAAATTCTCTACTACAGACAGAGCTACACAGTGCAGTCTGGTACTCTCTGTTCCGGAAGTTTGGATTTTAATTTACTTTAGTAGTTCCAAGATCTGATACCCAGCTGTATTCCTGCAGCAGATCCTGTAACATTCAGTTTTCTTTCCTGCAGCCTTTTCATAACGGATTTTATACTGGGAAATCAAGTGAGCTTTCTCCAGATGAGCTTTGTAGGAAATTAGGGAAAACCTTATATTGTACATCTGTCTGTTGAGGCATACACTTAGACCTGGTAGCTCGGTGTGCAGCTGCAGGCTGTGCTCTGGATGGCAGGAAATCAGAGCCCCAGGCAAGGTGCCATGAACAACTAAGGAGGGGCAGAGGGACCTTTGGCCCAGCCGGGGAACTGGGCACCTGGAGACCGTGCAGGAGTCAAGGGCTCATCTGGAAGAGCCTGGATTACAGTGCACACAGACTGTGAGGGTGTAAAAGCTCAGGGATTCTTTTGTTTGGGTTTCCTCTCTGGAGGCACCAATTTAAGCTGTTATGCTGTCACTGCACACATGCAACCACAGGAAACCTGTGGTTGAGCTGGAAAAGGAGACTTTTCTGACTGTGACACTGGGGTGAGTAGGCTGTGAAAGGGGGACCCCTTGGGTCACTGGAGCTGCCTGTGGTGAAAGGGCTTCAGTCCCAGCAGTTAAAGTCTAGGGTGGCACAAGTGTGACCACAAGTGGTCACACAGGGATGTTTCCTTAACAAGCAGGTCATTCACCAGTTTTATATGCAACATTTTCCAAATTATGCCATATATGACATTATATCCAGCTCAAACCTTACTCTGACATTTCTAAAAAATCTGGAACACCTTCACATTTTAATAGGTTTTTAAATTATTTCCTTATCATAGGGGAAAAGGAAGAAAGGAAAAAAGATAAAATTATAAACTTCATTTACAAAACTCCTGTTATGAAACTATTTGACACAGCTGTCATAGGTCAGAATGCAGAAGAAATTAGAAACTTTTAACTGGAAATTACAGAGAATATTCCTCACCTTCCTGAGTCCGATTCAAGGGGGTCATCATTAACAGAGTCTGCATTAAAATCCAAAGGTTCTGCGTCCTGGAGGAGTTCTATTCTATCTCTTTCAGTCCTACCATTTGAACGGGTATACTTTGATAGTGCTGAATAAGTAAAAGGAATGAAAGACACTTATTTGCTTTGTGAACAGCCTGGAGTGTATGGAGACATCAAATTTTAAAAAGCCATAAGAATAACAAATCAATCTCATTCAAAGCAAAAATGCTGTAATTTAGAGTAGATTTAATATTAAACAAAACCTGCTCAAATCTGTAGTATCTCAATTTTGTATCTCTACAGAAATGCAACTACAACTTTTGCCCCTCAAAAAGGTTGCAATCTACCTTGCAAAGAATCAAGAAAAATTAGTAACTACAGGCAAGCATTACTTTTAAATTACCCATTCATCCTTCCAGGTTCCTGCTTTAACTAAGCTGTTTGGAGGGCTTTTTGTTTGCTCTTGTTTGTTTTTTAAAAAAATCAGTCTCATAAATTAATGAAGTTGTTGTTTTGCAGTTCACTCTGTGACCTTCACTAGGTCAGTACCTATGGTTTGTTTTAGAGTGCTACATAATCACATGATGAGCATTAAAATGTAGATTCAGTTAGTCTACCACTAAAAATCTATGTTTGTAACTTTGTACAGAGGAGGGGGAAATCTACTTTTCTTAAATGCATATTCAAAGCTTCCCTCCTCCTCCCCTATTTCCTCCTTTTTCTTTAGTTTCTTCTTACTTGTTGTTAGCTTACAAGAGCACAAAAAATACAGAAAAAAACATCTACATTCTGACAAACTTTTTGCATCCACAAAAAATTATTTTGCTAACAGACATTATTAAATTAAAGTATATGCACTTATGTGATGTTACATTTGTTGGTCACCTGATTGCTTCATTATTCCAGTCTGAGATAGTTAATTTGCAGAAGAGGTAAATTTTAAGATTTACAACACCCAACATCAAGATGTATCATGAAGTTTTTTTGTTGACAACTGCTACTCTAATGGCAATCATTATATATCCCATAAGACCAAGTAATTGGTCTGAAGAGTACCCAGAATCTTTGATCCCAACTGGAGTTGGAGATGGAAAGAAATACAGTACTCTTTTGAGTGCCTTAAATGGCAAGGTGGCACTGAGCCACAGAGCTGAACATTATCAGCAGAGCATCTATGACAAAAAGCAAAATATTTGAAACTAACAGCCAGTGCTGTGCAGACAAGGTATTGAAACAAAACAAAACAAACTTCCCCTCCAACCCACAAAGCTTACGTCTATTGGCATTGGTCTCTGAAAAGCTGGATTCTTTCTGGTCTGTGTGGACAGCTCTGCTTCTGGTAGAATCATCTCTATTTCCATACCGCTCCTTCCATTCCTGGAAAAAAAGACCATGAAGAAAAATGTAAGCTGGGAGGAAAAAGGAACACAACAACTGTTCAGTATCTTAATACAGGAAGACTTTTTTGCTCCATTTTAAACTCAAAGTGTGTTCCTTCACTAAAGCACTTACCATAACTGTTCTTAAGAAAAAGACTTTTAAAAAACAAATTACACCTCAAATCTACTCTCAAAGTTCAGCCAACTGCTCTAAGTTATGGTGGGAACTGCTGTTTTTATGGATCACTACTTCCATCTAGTGGCAAAATGGAAAAATAACGAGATGCACACAGCACAGAAAAATTTGTAGCTTGGTGTTACCTCATTTCACTGTATATTAATTGTATCACACACTTGCTATTTTGCTTCCCAACAAGTTCAAGTTTTAAAATTATGATATAGAGGGAAAGGATCAAAAGTAAGGTCTCTACAGTACTGGCTGTCATCTGGGATTAAATTATACCTCAGCTTGGAAAACAAACTTGTTTTAGTCCCAGTACTATCTTGCATGCATCTTTTCGCCCATCTATCTTCTACTGTGACTTTAGATTTTGTTATAAACTAGTGAAAAACTAAAGTTTCACAAATCTTTCAATACAATATGTGCAGAAAACATGACTTGAATCAAACATTCTGTTTGTTATTCATGGGAAACTATTAATTCTGTCTTAAATGTAATTTCCTCCTCTGGCAAAAAATAAAATTGAACCTGTGCCAGTAACTTTCCAATGAGCACACAAATTGACAAATTTGGGAGGAGTCCATATTTCAGTATGATAACCCTGCAACTGCAGTTATTTCAAGCAGAGCAGTATAAGAGACTGGAAAAAAGGCATTTCAGATTATTCTGTATCCCAGGAATCAGGACTCTTTTTAATGCTTCTTACACTTATTGGTATACACAACAGCACACTAAGTAACAATAGTGTCCAAGCAGTGTCATTAAAATTGTCCTCTAACCTTCTCTATTCTATAGTATTCTGTATTTCTATTCTATATTCTATTCCATAATTAACCCCCATTCAGAAGACTATTCAGCAAGATTAAATGCATTCCATCCTTTATTCGGGACTCATTTTTTGTGAAATACATCATTCTGAATTAAATATCCATGGCAAAACCTATCAGATATTGCAGTATATTATAATTAGCTAAACAAATCTCATACCCTTCTTCTGTTTTCACCTTCCTCCTGCCGCTGTCGTTTTCTTTTCTCTAAAAAAAAAAAAAAAATCTTTGCCTCACTCCATATAAGAAAAAAACAATAGCAATTTTTTGAAATAAACAACAAAAATCTGAAGTAAATTAATGTTAACTAACGAAGATTCTTACCGAAATACATGATTCTTACAATTAAACAAAATGCTTACAAAAACAAAACAAAAAGTCTGTCTATCATTATGGAGTTTCCCATCAAAATTATTTTGCCATGATGGTATCTTGGATCATAGCATAACATTTGGATACCAGCTAGCTTAGAAATAACTGGGAAAGTATGATATTAAGAAAAAACTTCAGCATTTTTGAATTAAAATCTTCATGAAGTTCTGTGGGGCCCAACCTGTGACACAAATACTTTGTGTCCATATCTGATAAAGTTGGAAGTATAACATTACAGTATCAATGTCATCATAACCTCTTATTTAAGGGAATGAAACTTTGGTGTTTCTCAAAAAACAAAAAAAAACAAAAAAAAAAAAGAAATACTACTACTCTAAGTAAATCCAGGTTTTGTTTTTCATCAACTATGGGAATAAAAGTATTCCATAACAGAACACTGTGTTCAGAAATTTTAATTTCTAAACATTTACTCAAAAATTGGAATGGCTTTTAGAAACTTCTAAGAAACACTTTCAATAAAAACTAATGTAAAATAAAAAGCTTTCCAAATCAGCAGATAATTCCAGTTCCACGTAAACAAACATGTTTTCTCTAATGAAACACAGCCAGTCGACATAGCAAAAAAGACTGAAGGAAATAACTGAATTTGTGCTGCTAAATCAACACACAAAAGCAAGGTAAGTTTGTTGAAGATAAAGACAATTTAAATGTTAACCATCCTTTATAGCAGATTACACAAGCTAAGGTATTATTTGATCAGTAACATACTGTAAAATATTAAAAAATAGCTAAAATTCAGATGCTGGATGAATAAAACTGGTACTTTGTTTAAGATGTCAATGAAGTCCATCAGTGGACTTCCCATAGTGAAGTGCTGTAAGTACACAGTGCTGTAAGTTTATTGCAGCTTGTGCTGTGGCCTTCCTCAGTCCAGCTTTCAAAATACTGAAAGACAGTATGTCTTTTTTGTTCTGCAACGTTTCAGACAAATGTTATCCAAAAACATATTATAAGATGAGGAAAAGATTGAGATACTTAATGGCTTCTTTTCCTCAGTCTTTAAGACTGAGACCAGTTGTTGTCTGCGTACCAGGTTCCCTGAGCTGGAAGGCAGGGATGGGGAACAGAAAAAATCCAAGAGGATGTGATCAGTGACCTGCTACACTGCTTGATAAACACATACCTGTGGGGTCAGACAGATAGACCCAAAAGCAGAGAGGGAGCTGGTGGAAATGCTCACCAAGCCACTTTACTTTAAATTTTCAATTGGGTCACAACAACCCCCCTCAATGCTAAAGGCTTGGGGCAGAGCAGTTGGAAAGCAGCCTGCTGGAAAAGGATTTGGGAGTGCTGGTTGACAGTGGCTGAACACAAGCCAGGGTATGTCCAGGTGGCCAAGAAAGCCAATGGCACCTGGCTTGTATCAGTGAGAGTGTGGCCAGCAGAAGCAGGGCAGTGACTGGTACTACCCTCTGTGCTGGGCACTGGTGAGGCCACACCACAAATCCTGTGTCCAGTTCTGAGCCCTCAATTCAGGAAAGACTGGAACGAGTCCAGAGAAGGGCAGTAGAGCTGGGGAATGGTCTAGAGCATGAGTCTGGTGGGGAACAGCTGAAGGAGCTGGGGTGTTTAGCCTGGAGAAGAGGAAGCTCAGGGAAGACCTTATCACTTGACAACTCCCTGAAAGGAGGGTGTAACGAGGTTAGAGATGGTCTCTCCTTCCAAGTAACAAACAGCAAGACAAAGGAAATGGCCTGAAGTTGTGCTAGGGATGTTTGGACATTAGGAAAAAAATCTTCACCAAAAGGGTTGTCAGACATTTGAATGGGCTGCTTAGGGAAGTTTGGAGTCACTATCCCCGGAGATACTGAAAAGATGTGTAGGTGTAGCATTTACAGACATGGTTAAGTGGTGAACTTGTCAGTGCTGAGTTAAGGGTTGGACTCCATCTTAGAGATCTTTTCCAACTTGATGATTCTGTGGTAGCATGATTTTGAGACACTATGACAGAGGACCTAATTTACCTCTTCTGATTAGTTCTTTTCCTTCATCAATCAAATCAGAGGTCATTTCACTATCACCCATGAACTGCTGGAATCCCAAAAGATTCAAACAACGAGTTCCTAAACTGGTAAAAGAAGAAGCAATTTCCTTTGTTAATTTACAATTAGTAGTTTAGATACATTACAGAAAAAAATGAAAAACAAACTGTTCAGAACTGTATGAACAATCCAAGTAAAAAGGAAAAACATGGAAGAAAAGACAAACTATTATATCAGCTGAGAAAACAGAAAATTTGTAACTCAGAACAATAACTGGTGACCCAGAACAGTAAGGTGACCTAGGTGACCCAGAACAGTAACACATTCTTAAATACAACTGGAAGTGATGGAATAACCCTATTCAAACAGAGAGATTAAAATGCATATAGTCTAAGAGTAGTGCGAATTATATTTGCTTTAAATGCTTTTAACATCAGACGCTTCCTTTAAATGTTCTCAGAAACAACAGAATTTGTACCTATAATATGTAACCAAATCTTCTCTGCCAGAAGACAATTATTATAAAAATTCTGCTTATTATAATTTCTGTAGGTTTGAAACAGTAATAACATAGGAAATCCACTTTCACCTCAGAGTTTCCTTCAGGAGAATGTGTACTGCATACTTTAAAGCTGTAAGGATGCTGGCTGCCACCTTGGATAGCCATTGGCAGCAGAAGATAGCAAGTTTGCTCCACCTTTTAATGTCAGTCCTGGAACTACATTGCATGAAACCACTTTCTTCTTTTCAGCTTAGCACCAGAAAATACAATGGCTGTTTTTGTGCTGTTTTTCTTCCTCCAAACTGGATTATTGGTATATTTTTTCATTATACTACCTTAAGACTGCTGGATTAAACACGGGAGACTCAAGCTTTCCTCAACAGATTTTAATTCAACCTTTGCTTTTGCATGTATCTTAATTAGCAGAGGTCATTAAAGCAATCCTCTCTCCTTTAATTTCTATTCTTCCTTTTCACTGGGCATTCAAGGGCCAGGATAATCGTTGTGGCCAAGAGGCCACAAAAATTTCTCTTTTCTTGTCATTGACTTTCCTGTTTGGTGTTTGTTTATTTTGTTTTGTTTGTTTTTTTAGCTCCACCACCACTTTTGTCATTTAACCTAAAGATAAGCAGGGAAAACTTACTAGATACTTGTTGTTACTATCTATAGATACACATACAATATTAATGGTTATCCAAGGCATTTCACTACATTGTAATTGACTAAAAACACAGAGATTGCTTCTGACTGAATGGTAATGCAAAATTGAAGATATTAACATAAATGTAGTTCAACAAGATCGGACTAAAATTGTCCCTTAGAGTGTTCAAAAGCAGGTATTCTGAAATTATAAAGAAAGAATGCAACAGTGTTTTCTGTGATTATCCTTCCAGCCTCCAACAAACTCTGGCTTGGGGAAACAAGACCAAATGACTTAAACCAGTATGCATTACCAGAAGTCTGGTAACACATCAGAAACTTGATATGAGTCTGTTAGAAAGAAAGTTCAGTACCTAAAAGTGCTCCTAGTGCTTCTTAATTTATTAGAAAACTTTGCTGAAAACAGCTTTACCATGGTAATTTTAATCTCAAAAGCAGAATATAAATGTCCCCAGGCTCCAAAGTTTGAACAGATCACCCTTTAAAATCTAGGAATGAAGTTTAAATTAACTCAGTTATGAATTAATACAATCTGTATTTCTAAAATACACGCATTCCACCTATACAAATAGAAATCTATGGATTTAGGTTTTGCATTTTTATTAGAATGATACAACTCAACTGCTGGAAAAGAAGTACCGTATCTTCCTGAATTAGATGAAACTAATTATATTAATATAAAGAAGCATGGAGGATCTATCTTGCAAATCACTTACCTGAAGTATGTAGCAATACAGAGAATGACAACAAGCATTGGGTAATATATATAGAATCCATCTGCAATGAAGGACAGCACTCTCATGGATCCCATTATCTAGGAAACAAATCAACAAGAACAAGCCTTAATTAGCTATATTCTCTGTAAACCCATGAAGATTGTGCCTTTTCACCTAAAATACACTATCCTTTAACTAAAGCAACTAAAACAAAGGCAGTATCTTCACAGATCTGCTTGAGAATAAACAGATGTAAAGCACTTTGAGGTTTCTAAAATGCTAGGTTTTGTAGTCTCACCTACTCCAGAACAAAGGCAAATCTGATGGATTTTTTTAATCTGCTGTGAAAAGAGTCTCTAAACAACATGAAGAACTTAGTTACTAACAAAGACAAGAGATGTAACTTGCCACAGAAACCAGTTCTTCAACAAAACCAAACTCCCTGGTTTTGGGTAGGAAGTTAGGATTGCCCCCAAGCTGTAGGGACATGCTACATGCTAAAGCCAGTGAAAGCTAAAACTAACAGGAATTGATATTAGGAAATGGAGAACACCCTGAACTCTGAAGTATAATACTTCACTTTCTTAAGATAAAGAGGAAAAAAGAGCCATTGATGACTTCAAGGAATCATTACCAAACTCCTCGCCTATAACCAAGTATTTTTACCCTGTTGAAAAGACTGAAAAGATTTGAATATCTGAATCTTACTAGAAGATGTATTTAAAAATACTCTGCCTGTTCTCCAAACTATATTGAAAGTTCAAACACACATTTTCTTACTTACAGATGTGTAAGCAGTTGGTTGAGTATTTTTGTGAGAGATTGTTGCATCCATATGGGTCAAGCCCAGAAAGTTCAAGCACAATGGTGGAGTAAGACGGCAAAATAACCTGCATAAATGCAAGAGGCAATAGCATTTAAAAGAGTTTCTAACATTACCAACAAAATCATAACTAGATCTATCATAGAAGAATGATGCAGAGCTCATTAGGAATTATATCCATAAATTACATATTAAAGAACATAAATGGAAGTTTCATGGATATTTTCAACTCAGTATTTGATAGAACACCTGAAAAACATATACCAAATACTCACATGCCACTGAAAAGGAGACTGTATGCATCTGTCTGATGATGTGAAGCTAAGTAATAATAGTTAAATACACGGATCCTGAAGACAGTAGAGTAAACACAGATACTTAGGAAAAAGATGGTAAGAAAACAGGCCATCTAGGGGAAAAAAAAGTGCTGTTAAGTTGTTTAAATGTAGAACTCTATTAAAGGTTTTAATGTGTTCAGCAGATAGCCCGTCATATGCAGAGACCATCTCCAGCCTTAGTTTTTCATTTTGAGATGTGAGAACACCACTAGCTCTGAGTTGAGTTTTGGGAGTTCTTCAGAACAATTTAAACTGGAAATGATAATTATAACATCCTACACATAAGCTAACACAGCTGACATTCTACTACTTCTTGTTAATGTAAATAAAATTGCCTCAATAATTACTATGACTGATCTGGCATTTCTTCCCACAAAAAAAGGCATCTTCAAATCAACCTTTCCTAGGTATACTGGAATTTTTCAGCTTAGTATCTTTACTGATAAATTTGTGCACACATATGCTAGCCACACATGTGACCGGATTCCTGGTTATTTGCAAATTCCTGTTTAGGAAACCACGGTCGCACACATGGCTGATTAGATAGAAAGTCTAATTAACACCTATGCTCCAAGCTAATGTTTCAAAAATTACTCTACACATGATATTTAGGCCAGCTGGGTCATGCTTTCACCTGAGTTTTAACAAGTGACAAAAGGCAGACTTCCTCCACAGAAACAAAGTTTGGTACCATATACTTAGAGACGTTCTGAAAGTTCACAGATTATTTAGAGATTTATTTTAAAATCTATTTTATCTACTACTGTTATCATAACCATTGATCTGAAAATATTCTTTTCAAGTGATTATCTCCAACTTACCTCTATGTATATATAATTGTATGTCTTTTCTGCCAGCTGTATGAAAACCGCAAATAGCGACAGAACTGGTTTTGTGCTGAAAAATGTGCACTCTGACCACACAACAATTACAGAGAACGTGGCCAGCACAACTGCAAGCACTCTGTAAAACCACGGTCGGAGAAGGCATTCCCAGTACCACTCTGGAAAAAACAAACACACACATACCCGGAACAGGTTAGTGAAAATTACACAGCCGGAAACAGAACTCACTCACAAAAGCCTTCAAAGTTTGCTGTTGCTTTACTGCAACACATAACTGCTACTGAAGTTGTAAATAAAATTGAGGCTTATGGCCAAGAGCATGAATTAGTATCTGACAGCTATTCCATTGCATGAATGCATTAACACTGCAGACTTGCTTCCCTCTGCTAGAGCTGAACTTTTTACATGAAACAATTGGTTCTTATTACAGAATGGTATCAGTTGTAGCTTAACATACCCAAAATCTGCATTACAGCACTTACCAACTGTTGGTGTGTAGAAATACTGAATAATTTTATTTTCTGGTTCCTGGGAATGAAAGGTATGAACAAACTGTCGAGTAGCACTGCTTTCATTTTTTGCCACATCTTCCAGGTAAAATGCTTGCTCCAAAAGAATTTGCCACTGGACCTGTGTACGACGATGTCTCTGCACTGAATAGATGACCTACAATAAATTGCAAGAAATTAGGTTACAAGGTACTTTGTTTCAAAAAATAGCAGAAAATCCTTGCAAAATCCCTTAAACATGTGAGCACTGTAGAACTGCAAAGGCTGTTATCTTCAAAAAAGCCGATAGTTACTTCTCTAAATACATAAATCATAGAAGTACTACATACATGATTACTGAGTTTTGCAGCTCTTTCATCACAAACCACCTGTAGCAGTTAAATCCTACTTTTCTCAACCTGCCATTTTATTTTTGCATCTCAGTAAATATCAAGCTTTTACTATGATTTCTTTTTCAGAATGCACTGTCAATCAATGATTACAAGGCTTACTTACAGACAGCTAAAACACTATCAAGATAAAACACAAGAAGAACACTTTTTACACATGCAGAACTTTGATCACTTGGGATATTAAGTGTCTCTGATTTCTTTCACCAAGAGAAGTTTTTGTTAAGTAGCTTAAATCCACTATACTCAACAATCTAGATGAACTGCATTCAAAATCTTAGACCAGCATTTACTTTCACTACATTAGCATAAGTGAGGCATCCTCCCATCTATTAATATACCTGCTTGTGAAGTTTGGCCAAACTTTTTTCACTGGGATAACTGTTCTGTCTTTCATCAAAATCTTCATAATCATCCATGTTCCTACCCATTCTTTCCTGGTACTCAGTAGGGCACTGGAAGGAAAAGGTAAAATTAACTAGGAGATGTAAGAGTAGCAAGCAGTCTTTGCTAATTATTTGTAGAAGTTTGGGGCATTTCATGCAACTGAAAAGCTCACTCTACGCATACATTGTTCTCTCTTTCTACAACACTGTGTCAAAATACACCCGGTAATTATGTACGTCATAAGAAAGTATTTCACAAAGAATTTCAACTCAGAGTCTCAACAGAAACTCAGAATACGTCAACTCCAGATTTTATATTAAAATCAAAAGAAACTATGTACAAGTATTCTGTATGCGCAGGAAGCACCTCCTCTCAACTGGATAATTATAGTTGAAGATGAGCAATTGGTTACCTTTTTCAGTATTGTATCAACACATTTCCTCAAGGGGTGGTTATATTTGATACTCTCACTTACTTTACGGACTTCCTGTTGAGAGAAGAAATAACAGAGTAGTTTAACTATGCTCAATTAAATAAATTTCTCATATACTGTTTTGTCGTTCCGATTGGGAACAGCTATGAAGAATGACATGAACTCTCAAGGGAGTTTCAACACGAGAATTCTCTGGTTTATTGCTTCAGGCTTGTCTTATAGACAGATACGTGGAAAGTACAGAAAGGAAACTCTTATTGGTTAGCAAAGTGCTACATCACCATCATTGGTCAGGGGCACTCATCACCCCCCTGACCTCCTCCTGCAAGGAAAACAAAGACTGCAAAACAACACCTGCAAGGCTATTCAGTGTCCCTGAGAATTGTTTTAATTCCTTCTCATATTTTTCCCAGGCTACTTTCTCAGGCAGGACTGAGAGGCCATGGGCCTGCAGTTTCTGCAGCTCCCTGCAGCCTGTTCCAAAGCTAGCATCCATACTGTTTTTTTCATAAACAATATTTTTACTGGTTAGTTAGAGTTGCAGCTCCCCGAACTGAAAAATACAGCCATCAAAGCTTAAAAAAATAGCTTCCTAAAAACCATAGCTTTACTAAGTATCTCATAAAAGGTAAGTGCAGTATTTGTAAAGATTATATGTATTTTTTTAAAAAAAAGAACTTCAATGTGCAACACAACTATACACATGTGTGGAAGATTGGTTCCTATGCATGAAGGCCAAAAAAAATGGAAATAGAAAAGACTTCCTTGTTTAAGTTATAGATAAAAAGGAGATAAAGAGTAAATCTCACTGACTGACTCAGGGCACTGACCACCTCTTTAGGAAGCCTATTCCAGTGTGAGACCATCCACCACTCTTGGGGTAAGGAATTACTTCCAGTCTGGACCTCTCTGGATGCAGCTCTGAACCACCCCCATGCATCTTGTAACTGGCTAGCAGGGAAAAGAGATCAGCATGTCCCTCTCCAGGCATCTGAATGCTCTTAGTAACTTGCTTGAACTTTTGGTCACTTTTGCTCTGAAGTGGTCAGACAGCTGCACCAGATGAACCCTGTTGGTCCCTTCCAGGGGAAATATCCTGTTTTAAGTGCTATCCTGGTAAAAAAGGTCATAATTTCTCATTTTATAGTAAGTTTCATAGTTATGTCCCACTTAGACATTTTTAACTGTTTTAGCAGTTTCTTCAAAATGCTATTACAGATGAATGAAGATTCTATTACTGATTTGTACTGATACATAACACAGATTTTCACCCTACCCTACAACAGCTTACACATATTAGTCCAAACCATGGTATCCCCAGCTATTCAGAGGGCTAGATTTTCATTCTGTTCTTGAGCTACATTAGAACCTTTTGCTCAGTGACATTTGACAATAGAGTCTCAAAAGAAACTTTGAAAAAACAGTTATCTATATATTCTCTTCTCAAAAAGCATGTAAGTGTGGCCCCAGAATTTGGTAAATCTTCTCAAGATTCCAAAAATACACTGTGAGCAGAGCATAAAAGAAGTATACAATTTGAACACTGGTGAAACATTTGTACACTGACTGTTCAAGCTCACTCTGAAATGTTATTTTTTAGTGACAAGAACTACTCCCAAAGGGTCAATAATAGAATATACACAAGCAATTATGGTTATCAAGTTGCTATTACTTTTAAGTTCATCACAGCAATGACTATTTCTGTTTTGACTTTTGCACAGGATGAAGTGTTATCAAGTGGCACACTATGATGGTTTTCTTAGTTTACAGATATTTCACAGTAAGCTCATGATCATACTACAGGTGTCCAACCCCAGTGATTTCAGACACAACTAAGAGCAGCCTTCACTGTTTTTTCACAGGGAAACCTAGTTACTTACCTCCATTATATCCTCTAAATTCTCTTCTGCATCTGCTTTTTCAGTCATCAGTTTGGCAGCTTTGAAATAAGTCTTCATGAGCAGATAACCCCTCTTGGCCCCATTCCAGTGAGAACGAGGGATTTCCACCAAACCATAACCCAAAAGCAACACAAGAAGGAACAGACCCCATGTGTTCGCAGCAGCTATTCCAATAGTCTGAAGCTGGTTCCTAAGGAAACAAAACAGTATAAAAAGCCCAAACAATATCTTCCTGTCCTGACTGAAAGAAATCAGCCTTAAGTATCAGTAAGTACCAATATGGCTTTCAAGTTCACAGGAATGGATGTGGTATCACCTAAATTTTTTGCCTGGAGCCACTCAGCTGCTTGGCCATATTTAAAGCCGCCACAATTTTCCTTTATCTCTCATGTTCTGCCCACTATGGAAGGAAGATAAGAATTTGTTTGCTTACTCCCCTAGAGGAGTATGTTCCATTAGGAAATAACATGAACTTAGCAAACTTACCAAAAGTCATGTCAAAATAGCATAATGGTAGTCACTGTAAGAAACAGCCTCAGAACCCAGGGTTTGTATTCAGAATATTGTATTCACATTTGTATTCCATCTAGTATGAAGGACTATAACCAATTTATAGATGTCAATTATTTTAACTCTCCTTTTCACCTTTACAGTATTCACATGCTCTACACAAAATATATTGATTTTTTTAAAATATGTTGTTCTAAAAAACCTGAAAGTTTCTGCACTAACTTTGCAAATGTTCGCATGGAGAAAAAAAGCACCATTGTAAACACAAGAAGATTCCTCTGCTGTACTTACCAAAATCAGAAAACCAAAAACCAAATTTCTATAAATACTCAAAAAAGCCCCTTTCAGATAAAAAGTTAAAATCATTTTCTAAGTGCCTAGCAAAATATTATAGCTTAAACTATTTTTTTCAGGAAGATCCATTTCATCCACAGAGGAAATTATCTGTGACAATTCTGGAAGAACTCATGGAAGTGTTTACAACAGTATTCTTACCATTGTAAATTGAAGTTTGGGTTTACAGCCACATATATCAGAAATGCTCCAAAAATCAGCAAGTAAGTGCCATAATAGATGGCATTTTCAATCAAAGCAGTTTTAATCTTTCCAGTGATAGAGAACCCTCCTGATCTAGCATATGACTGCATGAAAGGTAGCAGAATCCTAGGATAAAAGGAAACAAAACAAAATCACATCAGCCAATCAAAAAAAGAACACAAAAATCCCACCAACCCCCACCAAAAAAATCTCCCAAACACCCAAACCACCAATCCCCCCAAAAAAGTACTTTAGCAGTGTCAGGTTACTGAGGCAGGGGTGTTAAAAGTTTAAGACTCCCAAGCTTCTAAGAAATTAGCTACTTAGATGTTTTTACTCTAGATGTACCTGTCTGATGGCAAACCTTAAACAAGCTGCAGATAAAAACAATACAGTTAGCTTTGCTATGAAAAATCTGTGATAAATAAGAATGAACCACCAACCCTGATATCCTTGAGTAACTACAAAAATAATTTCATAACAGGTTGATCCAGAAACCACACAAAGCACAGATTTGCACACAAAACCCAAAACCCCATAGATTTTTTTTGTTGCTATAGCTAAAGTTTTATACAATATATCAAACAAAACCAACTAATTTACAATATTACTCAAAAATCACCCAAATTATTAATGGAATTATTATGGTATCTAGTTGCCCAAACCCCATTTTTTTCAGACAGTCTAGCCATAAACACTACATGTGTTAATTGCTTAGTTTCAACAACAAAAATGTACCAAGAGTAAATGGCTTCCAACTGAAATTTGCTTCCACAGAAGCAAGAAAAAAAGAAAACGCCTAAATGAGTACAGTAATTATTACAGAAATTCCATTACTAGCAAATAGGATACAATTTGAAAGCTCTTTGCCATAGTGAATCACAGTTTTAAAGACTAGTACAACTGTTAAGATGGTCCACTTAAAAACTGTATCATAGTCTTTGCCATATTCTTTTTCCTTACTTACCATGTTAAAAACTGAGATGTCCAATATACAACACGCCAGAAAATTGGCATAATTCCATCAGGAATATAACTCCAGGGTTTGAAACATTTTTGCTTGCTGTTACAATGTAAAGAAGACTATTGTTAGCTGTGGAGCCATATGTATAAACTGCATCTTCTATAAATTCCTCTCTAGAAAGCTCTTTGAAATGAACATACAAGTAGTACAATACTATTTGAGTACATAGTCAACAATTAACCACCTCCCAAGTAAATAAACTGAATGATCACTTAGAAACATTTATTATTTTCCTAACCACAAACAATATATTTGTGGTTACTTATTTGACGACAGGACATCTTTCTTAGAGAAACAAAAAAAACCCCAGAAGCTCAGACTGAAGAGGACTATTCAATAAAGCATTTCAAGGTTACAGTTTCTGGTTTTCAGTAGTAATTATTTCATGCACAGAAAGAACGCTTGTTTAGACAGAGAAGAATTAAACTTTAGTTAGTGCAACACGTTTTTAAAAAATATCTAGGCACATCATCATCTAGAGGACTTAGTCATACAAAGAATGCATTAGTTGTTTCTTCTGCCACCCAGCTGAAAAAACTCAGTCTTACATAAATTTTGATTCAGTAAGCCCATATTCTTCTGACAGGTAGTGCTCACTTCAGAAGACTACAAAAGTCATATAAGTCCTTTTAGGAAAAAAAGAACAATGGACAAGGTGTCCATCTACACTAAGGCAGTTTGGGTTTTTACCACACACCTGTCTGGGTAATGAAGCAAGGGTGAGTCAAGGGGCAATAAAGTCAAGTTAGATAGGATTACCTAATGAGAAATAATTGGTGTTTTCCAAGGTCAAACTAGTTAAGCCTGAGTTGTAAGTTTTTATGTGTACAACCTAAATATTTTCAAAACTATCAAATTAAGATAAATGACAGGTAGTATGACTAAAGGTTTCAGCACCTCTCCTATGAATACAGGCTGAGTGAGGAGGGGTTGTTCAACCTGGATAAGGTACCAGGAGACCTTATAGCGCCTGCCAGTATCTGAAAAGTTCTTAGAAAAGGGAGGGAAAGGGACTTCTTATATGGGCAGAGTGACAGGACAAGGGGCAACAGTTTCCAACCAAGAGAGAGCAGGTTTAAACTAGAGATTAGGAAGAAAATCTTCACTGTGAGGGAGGTGAGGCACTGGCACAGGTTGCTCAGAGAAGCTGTGGATGCCCCATCCCTGGCAGTGTTCAAGGTCAGGTTGGATGGGGCTTTGGGAAATCTGCTCCAGTGGAAGGTGTCCCTGCACCCGGAAGAGGATTGGAACTGGCTGATCTTTAAGGTCCCTTCCAAACCAAACCATCCTGTGATTCTATGAAAAAAAGTTTGTCTGAAGCTATAGGTATATTGAAAGGTTACTGAGTAGTTTTCAAATTGTGCATATAATCAAATAGATTTAACTAACATTTGCTGGGTGGTCTTAAATATAGCGTGCCAATACTGTGTGACTAAGTCATATTCACGTTTCACCATTCTTCCAGGCCCTCCTTTGGGGCAAACTGGCAATATTTTGTACAGACATATCAGCTGACATCTGCAAGGCTCTGATTATCTTACAGATAACTACACTGCACACACCAATAACATACGATAACAGCCAGTGTAGGCTAACGGAGGAGCAACCACAGAAAGAGCCCACGTTAGTCTACCTCTCCATGCTTAGGGATTACTTTCTCCTTGACAGGACACAACTAGCAGACTACCATTACTTTGGTGGACTACAGTACATTTCAGATAACTGCAATTACCGTACATATGTAATCACAAGAAGCAAGTAGATATGCCCCTGACATATAACACAAGCAGCTAATTTCATTCATATCATACAGTATAAATTAAAGGTATTAAAATTAGATTTTCAGGTTTAAAGTCTTTAAGACTGTAAAGGATAAGCATTCATCAAAGTCTCTCCTCCTAACCAGGATTGCTCAAAAAGCTTAGTCCTATTGCTTTAACAAAAAAAAAAAGGAAATCTAGTGACACACATAGTTAGGTAATCAGCTAGAACTACTACGTAACTACAATGTAATTACTCCCAGCAGATAAAGATCCACCTTTCATCACCTTTTCCCTCACTGTCCTGTATATTTACAAACTTCAAATTTTGCATCACACAGATAACACTTACTTATCAAGTGTTAAAAACACAATGTGCTCCTATTAATTAAAAAAAAAGAAAACCATAAAATACAATCTAAAGGAAAAAACATATAGCTCATACCTTGGAGCAAGAGTAACGTAAGAGCCATTACCTTCTGCAGGACTGGAGTTAACCGCAAGTTTGCATCGATTATAAATAGTCTAAAATACAATTTATATCAGTGACCAAAGAGGTACAATACTTATTTAAAAGCAGAAAGTCCTATTTTAAGACATTTCCTGTACTTGAGGTTTACATTTGGAATTAATTATACCAATAAACATTCAAATCAACAAGCAATCAGCAGTCAAGTAAGTGAAACACTGAAAGTGTCCTTATGCTGCCTAAATAGATAGAAAAAATTGTTATAAACAAATAATGAAATTTTAAAATGTTTGAAACAGATTTGTTATCTGATGAGACTAACAAAAACTAAAATGAATTATAAACCAAGATATTGTTATGTTTAGTTTATTAAGATATTACGTGGAAGATTTCTTTGGTGTTTCTAAGATACAGTCTTTTGCGTCATTAGTTTAGAGAAATGCCATACACATTTGATGCAATTAAGCAGGAAGTCCTGCACATTTCTTACCGTACTGACATCCAGAGGCAGTATGAATACAATCAGGAAGCAGAGATACCATGCCAATAATGTTGCCACAATCACCAGCCTATGCTGTTTCTTGAAGTCTCCATACCGGTGAAGTAGGAATAAGGCCAGGAAAAAGACAAACACTATCTCGAGGCCCAGTGCTGCACCACTCATTGTTAAATGTTGGCTCCAGCCACCCCACACTCACACGGAAAAGCAGATCCGAACTGCAAGACAAAAAGACATTTAATTACATTAAAATCTCTGGAAGATATTTATATATAAGAGTTGGTCAATGGACACTCTAAAATGTATTAACAAACTTTTCATACATCATGTGATCAGGAGTCTTATCAGAAAAAACCCAAATATTTTCAGCAAGAAATTGCCCTGAAATCCTCTGACAAAATCAAATATGTAATTCCAATCCTATAATTTCCAACAATGTATTAGGACAATCCCTGTTCATCATCTTGATATGCAACAAATCCAGGAAGCAAACCTCTGTCTGTAACAACCTATTAATCTAACATTAGGTCCAGTACAAATTTCAAGATGAAAATCTACTCTGCATTTTTTTTTCTCCTTTTAGAAGTAATTTACTAATTTTTACAAAGGGTTAAATGTTTACATTAAATGTTTCTGCGTAGCTAATGAACAACATTTTTAATGGAACTTATCTCAAATACATATTTCAAGTCTGTACATGAGAGTTAACAGAGCATAAAAACACTGTAAAGTATGTGTTAGTCTACTTGTAGTGTACCCCTTTTAGGTTTGAAATTTCAAGAATTTAAAATCACCTTCCTACTCCTCCTGTGCTAATCACAGAAATAAGGGTCTCAATTCATTTGGTATAGTTTGCCATGATGTATTTTTGCCTTGCTCGTCCTTCTGAGCTTAGCTACTCTCCTACAGTTAGGACTGCTGTAAGAAAGTTCATACAGGCAAACTATTACGCAAGAGGACAGTGAGCTGCACAAATCCATTACAAAATATTTCACTGACTTTTTATATTTTTATTTAAATTGCTTCAGACCTTTTTAATAAGCATCATTTTACCACAGGCATGTATGCATTATTAAAAAAATAAAGATCATTACTGTGGCCAGTCTGACTTGCCTCTCCATCAAGATTAACATTTAGCTGATTTGATTTAAATGAAAGAGTTTTTGCTATGGCTTTGCTATTAAAACTTTCAGTACTTTCACTTTTTTTGAGATTTAAAAGAAATGCTATTACTGAAATTCCCCTCTACTTACTTATAAATCTCTTTAGAACTTGGTAAAGTGAAATGTTTCTTTTACTAATTTCTCAGTAACCTGCTTAAGCAGATCTGTTATACTTGAGGGCACTAAGCAGTGAAAACTCTCCTATTTACACTAAAAAACTCTAAAGTTTGTGATGCCATTATCATCTTGAGGACACAGATGAACAATTATTCTGTGACTTTTTTTCTCCCCCAACAGAATTTGTTTCTCCCAATTTTCTACTTTCACATTTGAATTTGAAACAGTAAGAGCAGTCTGTTTACTCCATATTGGCTGTGACACACAGAGCATTCCATATTCTGAAAGTAACTCACCTTCCTGTTTCTAGTCAAAGATGCACACACTTTTTCTTTTCTGCCTTTCATCAAACATTTTTATCAAACTATCAACACTTCTGTTAGGACAAACCATCCCTTTACTATCTGCCTGTACTCTACTTTAGCTAGATCATTTGGGTATTAAAAACTCAGGATAGCTCACCCATTTCTCAATCACTTATTCGGAGCAAGTGCTTGACTGTTCTATTGTACCATTCTTCTTTCCTCAGAAATCCTTTTGTATTTAAGTATAGCAACAAATTCCACAGAAGCAAAAATAACAGAACAACTATGTATCAGCTTTAATAAGGCACTGCTATCTGGCATGTAGCTTTTCATGTCCATTACAGCCACACCTTTTGCTATGTAAACAAAAAAATTATACAGTATACATTAGTCACAAAGTTTTATTGCAGTCACACCTAAAAAGCTTCAACCAAAACAGAAGGTAACAAGTTCTTGTGCAAAATGCTGCACTCAGCTACTATCATTAGGGTACTTCCAGAAGTATTATAAAAATGTACTGAATATGCTAAAATAGAGGGAATTGAGTCCTAATCAATTAATTGATGAGTGAATTAATTCCAAATTAACTCACTTTCAAAGACAAAAGTGATTTTGAAGTTATCAGTAAACTACATCTTTATGTTCTTCGCTGATTCCAATTTTAATTTTAAAAGAAAGGCCTGTTTTTTTTCAAAAGACTGAGACTAATAAGAGAGTTGCTTTGAATTAATGTATATTTTCAAAATACCAGTTTAGAATTTTTAGATAGAAACCATTTATGACCAGCTCTCCACATAGATGAAATGGAAGAAAATCCATAAAGTGAGAAATGCAGTGCTTGAGAGGAGCTCTTCTGGTGAACTAAATCCAACCCAACAGCGCAGATATATCAGGGACCTGTGCTACTAGTATCAGGCTTTAAAACACATTACTGCAGGCTAGAAAGGTATGCCTTCCTGTGGAAAGCAGCATTTGCCACTGAACCTGGTTGTTAGCTCAAAGAAAGGTAAGCTCCTTACCTATCATCCTGTTTCATCACTTTATTTAGACAGCCATCTCACTACTGGCATACAGCTACCTTGTATCAGCTGGCTGAAATTCCACAATCACCGAAAAAATGTCCTGAAATAGCTACTTCAGAAGAGCTCTCTTGTACTCTACAACCTTCAAAAGCTTTAAAAGATGCTCTTATTACAGCAATGACAAAGTAACAAGAACCCTCATCATGAATAGAGAAGTATTTATTGGCACACTCAGTTTCTGAACAACCAGGTAACTACAGATTAATACAAATAAGATTAAAAGCTAAAACATTGGCATGGAAAGTGCTACTTAACCAATAAAATACGAGGACATGCTCTTGTGTTAGCTTAGGACTTTCCTGCTTCTTTTCAGACAGAAAAAATCTGTTAAGTTTCTAATTTACCCAGCTATTAACTCTGCACGCATCATAAAGGGCTCAGTTCAGGCTTAATTCCCTTTATATGACAGACTCCCTACTACCAACAGTATTAAATTACCCTGCCAACCTAAGAGTAACTGCATTCATGACATCTACATTACAAATGAACTAACTACTCTGCCTGGTACAGAAATCTCAAATTACTAATGAAACAGCAAAGAATTCAAAACCCCACACTTTCTTAGAGCTCTAATACAGCATCAAAGTTAACAAAAACATTACAATATTATATTCTTAAAGAAGTGCTAAAAAGAGGAAAGCATATCTCTGAAGGATTCCCCCAGTCTCCTAGCAAATGCCTGAGGAAGACTGAACAGAGGGTAAACACTGCTTCACATGCCTTACTAAAAAGCATAAATAGGATAATAGGATGTTTCCTTCACAAATTCAGCTTTATTAAGGCCTCCAAATTCTCTCTCTCCTGGAAACACAACACTACTTCACTATCCTGTATTTCTGTGGTTGATTGCTCCTGCTTAACACACGCACAAAACTCCACTCAGCTGTACCCATTCCTGCCCCACCCCTAGTTTCCAAATCTCTAAGGTATTTTGATTTACACTACCACTCTCAAAAAGACTTGAAATCTCTCATAGTTTTGTGCCTTCTATAGTTTTAATCATCATACTATTTCATAAGGGAAACTCTGAAAAACCATTAAAGCACAAGGGAATGGCCTCCTTAGCCACAACAGTGGCTCTTCCCAGCTTTCTTTCCCAAGCAAAAACATCCTAAGGAACAGGACCTAAGTCCTACTAAGCAGTATATAAGATTATAAACTGATCTTCTTGTATACAATAGGTCTATCAGTCATTACTGAAATACATTAGATTACTTCAACTATTTGTCCTTGACAAATGGATGCTGTCTTTTAATCACCTATTGTATTTACATACTTAAAAATAGCTTTAGCGCCAGATTTTTTTTTAAGAATTAAAAAAGGAGAGGCTGTTCTTCAAACTTTACTAATAAAGACAGCCACCATGCTTCTGGACTTCCTGTCTGGTACCTCAGACATTTCTAGAATACTAAAGACTACTTTTTTTTCTTGTTCTTTGAGTATTCTCAGGTAGAGATCAAACAGATTTAAAAAAGCTACATTTTTAGACATTTTGGATATTTCAGTTGAAACACCTGAAAAACCAAGCAGCCTTAGTTTAATTTTTAAAGATTATAATCATAATCTGAAGAAAACCTGTCATCAAAAGAGTTGACAAACTATGAAAGGGATTATCAGAGTCAGTCAGGGACAGAACTGAGAGCCTTAATATACCAAAAAAAGTATCTGGCAACAGCATCTCCCACCTCAAGCTGAATTCACAACTCACCTGCAAAAACAAAAGCTGCCATGACCAGCAATACATCAATGGCTAGCTCAGTGGTAAGCTTTTGCCTTTCCATCAGGGAATAATCTGCTAGTTCTTATTGAGGTTTTACCAGCACATTTCACTTGGCAGAAAAACCTCAGTGTTTGGTTTCTGAAGCCTGCCCTGCTTGGCAAAATTATGCTGCTAAGAATCATAAAGAAAGACTTCACTCCACAGACACGCATTAGTAGACTACAGCCTTTAGTACTGATAGAACTGCCCCACACTAAGAGCCCTTGACACTTCCATCTTAAAACAACAAAACAGGCTAACTTACATTTCAGAACTCATAAACGGAGAAGAACAAGAGGCAAAGTAACAACACAAACAGTCCCTTCAGCCATTTTAATATCCAAGTCTGCATAGTGTGTTGTGGGGATTTCTTTTAGGTTGGTTTCAGGTTTAGGGCAGGGGTTCTGTTTGGCTGGTTGGTTTGGGTTTTTCTGTTTACTTTATTATTACACACTGGCCCTTACAGCTTGGGGAAAATAGTAAGTATTTATAAACAGACAACAAAGATCTGCTTTATCTCTGTACAGTGAGAAAGCTATCTAAAGAAATAAAATAGCCACAAGGTGCCCAAGAAAACCAACCAAAGAAATTATCCGATTGCACTATTTGAGAGAAACAACCTCTGAGATTAGTGAAGAAAGCAATTTGCATGGCTTTGTTCTCTTAAGACTCATTAGTCAGTCTAAGAACTGACTGATACTTTAGTGACTGAACCTGTCAATTCAACTATTTTGCAATGAAGAAAAATTTCAGATTGACTAAACATTTAACTGATAACTGATCAATATTTAGGGAAACAAGTTTTCTATCTTCCAATTAAAAGTAAAAATAAAATGCTGTGCTGACACCACTCTAATAAAAAAAAATAAATAAAAATAGCAGTACTCTCTGATTTTGCAGACTAGGCTCCACACAGTAGCACTAAATGCAAGACTTACGCTTGGCCAAGGAACACTAAGATTTTTGTGTTCAAATGCAAGCAGAGACCATCAGTACAAAACCATGGAAAGCTCATTTACTTTACATGATGCTGCCCTGTCCTCTACTAAAGGATCACAGAATCATTAAGGCTGCAAAAGATCTCCAAGATCATCGAGTCCAAATTCTAATACATTAAGTATCACAGAGGCTGAAGCTTTCAAACAGTTTAGGGAAGTATGCTGAAAATAACACCTAGAAGAAAATAAATCACTTATCAGAGGAACTGAAACAGAATCAATTACAAGCACTGTACAGTTGCAAGCAGAATCCAAAAAAAGAATAGAAATTGCTATCTGGGCTACCAGACTAATGCACTCACACAAAGCAGGTGTCAGTAAGGCACTCACATGACTACAGCCCCAACATTTCATTCAGCAGACAGACAATTTGTTAATTTCTGGACTGTAAAAACCACTCGGATTTTCCACGAAATCATCTTTAAATTTCCCATACGTTAATAGAGAAGAGTGACATGATTCACAAATTAAAAAAGGGCTGCAGAAAAGGTCAAATAAACTCAGCTTTTTTCTAAAAAAAAAACCAAAACTCCGTCTCTTTTTCATCTGATTATCTGCTTAAATAATCTTTCAACAACTGCTCCGTGACTTAAGTTAAAACCGGAAATGGTTAAAAAATACTTTTTAAAAGATTATATTAATGTTAATTTGAGTCACATCATTGTCCGTATGTGACTTAAAGTTGTGTACTCTTTGCCACGGGTTCCATTACCACCCTCAATTTTACAGGCACGTCTCTCCATCGTCACGCATTAAACAAAGGACAGCATTTGCAAGCAAGTGGTTGACTAAGAGCGGGGTTGTAGGTGTGTTCAGAATCAGTTCTCCATCCCCACCAATTTCAAAACAAGCAGTTTTGGGGAGAAAAAAACCGCAGAAGAGCTGCATTGCTGAAAGTCCCGCCGGCTGTGCAACACGGTATGAAAATACTGCAGGGTTTGAACAAGCATGGTGAGGGTCAGGACTAACCACACACGGGCAGTTTCAGGTGTTCCTAGAAAAAACCTCGCACGGTGAAATGTGCCAGCTCTCCCCTGCCGGCCGTGTGCGCACAGGCCTGTGCGGCACAGCACCGAGATCCCCGGACACGGAACCAGCACCGCCCCGCGCTACGAGCTCGGGGTCACTGGCGGGAGGGCAACACTCGGGATAAGAGCCTTGAAACGAACGCGCCGACCGCCCTCACCCAGCGCTGCCCCGTGACCATCTTCCCCTCCGCGTCCTTGTCACAGGGGACATTCCCCGGGGATCGTTCCCCGCTCCCACCCGGCTCTCGTCCGCGTTCAAGAGAACCGGCCCGGCCGTGACTCGGCACTGCGGCCCCGCTCCGCCCGGCCCCGCGTCTTTCCCATTGCCGCCTCACCACGGCCGAGCCGCCGCTC